GGGAAAGAAAGCTAGTTTTGCACCACACATCACTCTGTAGCAGACAGCAGTATAGAATTCCATTTATATTTTGCTACCAGCCTGGTTGGGCCAAAGGTGCAAACTGATTCTAACTCCAGATAGCACCTGATCTATTCAAATGTATCTGCCATTCTATGTAGGACACAGGCAAAATGCTTTAAGATTAATGCCTGAGACATCTCTCTCTTTCGTCTCAACCCAATTTAACATCCAGCTTGCACACAGTTTTGTATTTTGGTTGTCCTCACAAAAGTCATGGCTTTTGCTTTGGACCAACATGCCTATATGCAGACTCTGGGAAATAAGATCATTGGAGACCTTATGGGCACGAGTAAATTAATTACTACAGCCATCACAGATTGACACGTTCACTCTAATATGCAGTCAATCAGATATTTATAGACTGATGTATATACCTCTTTCGTCATCATTAGCCTTCCTGCAGATTCCCGTATGATCAGAGACAGGGCTTTTTCAATGGTTGCACCTCATTCAAGGTGCTGGTCCCAACCTTCAAAGCCCTATATAGTTTTGGACCAGCATACCTGAAGGGCCACCAAATCCCTTATGATCTTGCCCAACAGTTACATTCATCTTCAGAGGCCCAGCTGTGGGTGCTCCCACCTTCTGAGATTTGGAGGATGGCAACCCAGGAGTGGGCCTTCTTGGTCATGGCACCAAAGCTCTCAAACTCTACCCAGGGAGATTTGTCAGTCCCCTTCTGTTGCCATCTTCCAACAGCAGATGAAGACTTTTTTGTTTTGTTAGGCGTTTCCTCAATGATCCCTCCTTCCTAACCTATGTTTTATGTTTCATATGTGTTTTAACTGTTTAATATGTATTTTAACTGTTTTTAAGCTCTTAAAAGTTTTAATGAGGTATGTTTGGGTGGGTGGGGCTATTCTAATGGTTTTATAGTGTATTTTACTATGTAAGCTAAAAATGTTAGCTGTCTTGGCAGCTCTCGTAAGGGCAGAAAGGTGGGATATACATTTTATAAATAAATAAAATTTTTAGAATGACATCTCCCTTTGAAGCTTGTCTGGCACCTACCTTACTGTCTCCTAGGTGCCAAACCAAAACATTTATTTTTACCCAGGCTTTTAACTGAGAGGTTCCATCTTTTTTTAGCAGCTTTTACAGTCTGCTTCTACCTGTTTCATCAATACAATTTCAGGCTGCTGAATGTATTTATACTCATGACTTTTTAAATCATAATTTTATTGTTTTTACCTTGTGTGCTGAATCAAGCAGTTTTCTAGTGAGATGACATATACATTTTCTTATCCCATAAATTCCTAATTTTTTTCTGCCACATACACAATCTACTGTATGTATGGATGACCATCGCATCTATTTTATTGATGTTTCTATTTGTTGTGTACTTGCTTTTTTTGGTTCTTGTGTTTCATGATATTTATATTGTTATGTGCTCCCCTGAATGATGAAAAATTCTAGAGTTACATTTCCTGTGGAGGAAAGAATACTGGAGACTTGAGTCTTGTAGTATCTAGTTTAATTTACCAATTTACACCATTCATAAGAAGCAAGACATAGAGTTCCAGTTCCAAAGCCGCATCAGTCTCAGAGCAATAACGTCACCCCATAGATTCCCAAGACATGCAATGGCATCCTAAGCAGAGTTACACCTTTCTAAGCCCATTGAAGTCAGTGGCATATAAGGGTGTGTCATGATCCTTGTTTCTCCTGGCACTTTTTCCTACTGATGCTGACTCAACAGTATCTGGGGTAAGTCACCAAAGGGACAGTTTGGGGGGCTTCCGTGCAAACTGGATCAGAACCAGGTAGCAGCAACCACAAGAAAACTTCCAGTTATTGAAATTTTCCCAATATATTACTGGAAGAGATGGTCTCTGGACTGGTTTACCTCAGCTGGATGTGTGTGTGTGAGACAGGATGTCAAGTTTCCCATTCCCAACTGCCCCCCATTTCAGGGTTCTCTCAATGAGAGATGGAGCTGTCTCTCAGGACTTGCTCTTTTGTAGCTGAAGCAGTCTATGGGCACAAGAAAGATGGGGTCCTTAGGGATCCCTCTCCCCCAATGATCAGGCACTTCAGTTGCTAAAACTGCTTTATTCCACTAAACGTCTTACTAAGCAGGAAGCACAGATAGTTAGAAAGCAACTTATTGAAAGGAAAATTAGCAGGCTTGGCTAGAGAAAACAAAAAGTGCTAGCTAAAGTTAATTTACACTCTGTTGAACATACCCCCACTTCACTCTCCATCCTCGTTTGAGGAGTGGGTCAGTTTATACCCACTTGAGACTCATTTCCCCCAAGGTTCCAGAACTCATTGGACTAGGGATGGGCACAAGCTGGCTCATGAACTAAAGGTCGTTGTGAATTTTAGCTGGTTCATGGTTCACAAAACAATGTTTGCAAATTGAAGAGCTATCACAAACTTTCATGATTTTTTTAAAAAAAATTATTAGTTTTCTACACAGAAAAGAAATACAACAATTACAGACAACAAACATGGAGCATGTACTCATTAGAGCTGCTTAAATTTTACATAGAATCATTCATTCATGCACCTAAATCAGTTTAACCATTTGAAATATAGAACATATATCTAAATAGTTATGTTGTACATCTGAGATATTCCTCAATCCATTTATAAAATCTTAACCAGTTCTCAAAGATTTATTTTTTATCTTGTAATTGCAAAGTTAATTTGTCAATTTCTGCTGTTTCCAGTAATTTGTAAATTATCTCTTCTTTTGATGGAACTTCTTTTTTCCAATACTCTGCATATAAAATCCTAGCCGTGGTTATAATATGTATAATTATATAAGCATTTGGTTTCTTAGAATTCTCTGGAATGATATTTAATAAAAACAATTATGGTACTAATGGTATAGTTGTTTCTAGCATTTTTTGCAATGTCTCATGTATCCATATCCAAATTTTTTTGTTATCTTACAATACCACCACATATGAAAAAATGAACCAACATTTTGCTTACATTTCCAACATACATTTGACATATTTGGATACCATTTTGCTAAGTTTTCTGGAGTCATATGCCATCTATAAAACATTTTATATATATTTTACTTATATGGTATAGCTTTTGTATATTTTATATTTGTTTTCCATACCTTAGTCCATTGGTCTATGTTATTTATTTATTTATTTGATTTTTATCCCGCCCTCCCGCCGAAGCGGCTCAGGGCGGCTTACAACGTTAAAACCAATAAAACAATGCCTCTAATACAATCTATAACAGTACAATAAAATTGTAATTTACACACAGTATAACATACCCATGGCGGCAACTATAAAGTGCTATCATGCTTAGTCCGGGATGTTAAATGCTTGGCGGAATAGCTCCGTCTTCACCACTCTACGGAACTGGCAGAGATCCCGGAGAGCGCGGATCTCATGAGGGACCTGATTCCATAATATTGGTGCAGCCAAGGAGAATGCCCTAGTTCTAGTAATTGTTAGTTATTTTTCTTATCTAAAAGATCTACTATTAATCTGTGTTGTAGAGAAAATAAGTGTGATATAAGGCATGGAATTATATGTAAATTTGCTGATGATGTTGTTCAAAGTGTACAATATAGGCGTATACTGCTTTTTTCATACCATACAAAGGCGTGCCAACCTAATTTCAAGTCATGACCTTCTAACTTTAATGATCTTAGATTTTCCAATGTGATCCATTCTTTCATCCATGTCAGGGCTGCTGCTTTATAATAGAGATGCCAATTTGATACTGCGAAGCCTCTTTCCTTTCTATCCTGCAATACTTTCAAATTTATTCTAGGTCTTTTACCTTGCCAAATAAATTGCTGTTTCTGTTTATCTATTTCCTAAAAATACTGTTGATTCTTTAAAATTGGAATTGTTTGAAATAAAAAAAGAAATCTAGGTAACACATTCATCTTTACAATAGCTATTCTTCCCATAAAAGATAGTTGTAAATGTTTCCAATTTTCCAAATCTTTTTTAATTAGTCAAGAGTTTAATGTAATTATCTTTTAACAATAAAGTGCACCTATTGGTTAAAGTTATCCCTAAATATTTTATTTTCTTCTGGACTTCAATACCAGACGTATCTTGTAGTTGTTGTATCTGTTCTTTACTGCAGTTTTTTGTCAATATTTTTGTCAAACTTCCATGAATTTTATGCTAGTTTGTGGTGGTTTGTGAAGAGCAGAAAGCAGGGGTTTAACTGGCTCAGAGCCATTTAAACCCCTGTTTTCTGCTCCCTGCCACCCAGCTGTTTGGTCTAAATGGCCAAATAAACAGAATGTTGCTGGCATGTTGGCTGTTGCTGATTCTTCAAAGGTTATTTTATGCTCTATTTCTGTCAGAGTACACACTGAGTAGTGTAAGCAGTAAGTTCTGACAGTCACACATTACTTGAAGGTCATATGGAAAGAATTCCAATTGGTAGAGAATTTAGATGGCAATCTTGGACTGAATGTGTTAAATGTCATCACTGGACAATTTCCCTTTATTTCAATGAGGCTTGTCAAGAGGAACTGAGGAATTTGTAGTAAGTTGCTGGTCTATATGCTGAATTATCATGCCTTCCAATATTTTCACAGAGGATAAGAGGACATATAATTAGGGATGAGCATGAACTGGGAAAATGTTATGTGGTTCACAGCATGCCCCATTTGTGAACCACAGAATGTCACAGACTTTTAGCTTCATTTCATGAGGTGGTAGAATGGCTCCCCCAGCATGCTAGAGACACCAAACACAGGAAACAGGTGGTAATTTTGACAGGTGCAGGTTCAGGAGTGCATAGACTTGATAGGCATGTAGAGGACCATCCATGGGAGGTCCGCTGCAAGTTTGGTGTCTCTAGCTTGCACAGAATCCATTCTATACACTCTTGAATTTGTGCCTGTCAAACTGACTGCTGTGGCCATTTTGACAGGTGCCAGTTCAGGAGTGTAGAGAAAGGATCCTGTGCAAGCTAGGGTCACCATACTCACAGGAGACCTCCGGCTGACTCTCCTCTACCTGTCTTTCGAGTTTGGTGAGGATTAGACTTACGGGGCCCAAGTTACAGCCCCTCAAAGAAGGTGCCCCCAGGAAAGTGCTTTCTGGGGAAATAACTGCCTGTCATTTACCCAGAAAGCAGTTTCCTGGGGGGAAACCTTCTTTGGGGGCCATAATGTGGAACCCGTAAATCCAATCCTCACCAAAATTGGAGGAAAGGTAGAGGAGAGTTTATAAAGCCATAGTTCTGTCAGAGCTGTTCTTGAAAGAGCTCTCTCAGCCCCACCTACCTCACAGGGTGTCTGTTGTGGGGAGGGGAAAGGAAAGGAGTTTGTAAGCCGCTCTGAGACTCTGACTCATAACAAATCAGTCTGACACTGATGAGATGGTGGGGTGGGGCCAACTGCACACAAGTAAGAGAATTCTCTTAACCCTTTCCTTCCCAGATCCTCTTGTATGCAGAGTTACAATACCCAAGAGTATATACCACCTGAATGATGTTGCTGCAAAAGATTAACATAGCTACTCTTCTGAAACTTCACTTTCTATTTGGAATTTAAGGTATAATCATGCTTTCTTATTTGGATAATTTGCACTGATTAAGACAATTCTATGTGCTAAGCTTAATGGAAAATCCTCAACCTCAGCAGAAAACATAGCAATACTATGATAGCATACAGGTTAAGAATGAGAATTAGGGAATGAGTGTTTTAAATCTCACATTGACTATTAGCAGACATTTCCTTTTGGTGCTTCTTGTCTGGTAATGCAGATCTGAGCTAAAGAAAACGTGGGGCAAATGTGTAAGAATTTGGGTCTCTGTTGCTCTATTATTATTTTATGTTCCATGTGCAAGATGTAGGCACTATGCTTGAGGGGCCACAAAAGTCAGTTCCACACAAACTGACTTCTGCCTAGGTATCAGCATACAAAGCCTCATAGAACACAGTCCACTGATGACCTGGAAATGAAATTTATGGTGACCCAACAGCTATTTTGAGTTGCAAACCTATTTAAGCCCAAGTTCTTTATTTGTATTTTTCTCCATTGACCAGGATGAGGGCATTGACTTGGATAGCCAGGCTAGTCTGATCTTATCATATCTTAGAAACCCAGCAGGGCTGGCCCTGGTTAGTATTTGGATGGGAGAACACCAAGGAATATTAGGGTCATTATGTAGAGACAGGCAATGGCAAACCACCTCTGAACATTTCTTGCCCTGAAAATCCTACAGGGTCGCCATAAATCTGCTATGACTTGGAGGGGGGAGGATGGGGAATACTCTCCATTAAAATAATTTGCACACAGAAAGACTTGCATCTGCACACCAGAGTTTAGCAAAGCCACTCCCTTCATATAATCTGAAGTGGCCCCACAAAATACCTTGGCAATAGAATTATTTATATCCTAAGTACCAATTTAGAAAGCACTTGCAATTCTGAATCTAACTGACATAGTAATTGCAAATAAGAACCTGAAAACTAAGCCCAGCCCTTCACCTGCAGGCATGTAGGTCTCAGTGAGTTCAATGGGCCTGCCTTACAACTAAGTATAATAGAATTGTAGGCTTTGTGGTTTTGTATGTGTGTGTTTACATAGGACTCCCGTGTTAAGCTTCGAGCCAGACCAGGGCTCCTCTGAGCGAACTTCCTATTGGTCGCTTCGTAACAGCGACCAATCAGAACGGTACCATTCCCTAGGAGGGAAAGACTCCCATTGGTCTTTATTCTAGCAATCTCATTGGTTGTTATTTGTAAATAGGCGTGGCTACATTAGCCCGGTTATGTTTAAAAGGAGCATAAGCTCCCACTGTTTTCTGTTCTGGTTTCTTACTGAGTTAGTGCTTGTTCGTTACTTCCAATAAAGCTGAATCACTTGCTGAATCACTGTACGAGTCCTTTGTTAGCGCGATCTAACACTATGCTACTTTAAACAGGTACATATAAAAAACGTTCCCTAACCACTCTCTATAATGAAGTGAGAGCTGTCCAGTGAGGAAGGGAGAATGATTATGTTCGAAGTATAAGGAAAAATTCAGATACACTAAAAAACACTTGCTGTTTTGAGCAGTAGGAGGTATACAACGAACCTTGAATTTAAGTAGATCTGTTTTTGAGAAAAGAAAACGATTTGTTGCTGGCACCCTACCTCAGCCAGTCATAAAACATAACTCTTTGTTGTCAAGAAGTCGCTAACAGCACAACGCAGTTATAAATAGCAAAACCTCTAGAGGAAAATATTGCTGACATCGAAATCCAGCAGGTGTTTTTGGAGCAGCGGAGCCTTATTGACTCAGAGTGGGCCAGGCCATTCTCCGAGGCCGGGTTTTGCAGCCGGCCAGTGGCTCCGGTCCAGAAGAACAGTCGGGAGAAATCCGGCGCCGGGATTTGCGGCGTGGCGGACAGACGGGCGGGGCCTGGTTGGGGTGGCTCGGGAAGTTACTGAAGTTGGGTAGCGAGCGGAGGAACAAGCGCTTGCCCGCCCAGGCCTTCCGCGGCGCTTGTCCTTCTTTCTGCTCGTCTAGTGCATGATGGAAGCAGCATGGCTGCTCATCTCTCCTTGACACAGGTAACTGCTGGCCTGTCGGAGGTGAGGAGGCGTGCAGGGGGTCTCGCTTAGCCTCGCTGAGAGCCAGGCAAGCAAGAAGCCGCTGCAGGCAGGCCTCCTCTCGCGAGGAGGGGGGGGTCTGTTTCCCCAGCTCACGTAACTTCTCGCGCCACCTCCCCGTCCTCTCTTTTCCCCACAGCCCTTTCGCCACTTCACAGCTTCCCCTTAAGCGGCGTTCTTCTCCCGGCCTCTCGCTTGCCTCGCAGTCTCTTCCGTGTACTTTATTCTCCTTTTACGCTTCGGACGGGCTCGCCGTTCCACGATTTCTTCTCTCCCTGCAAGAGCTTTCTGTCTTGGTTTTTCGTAGTCTTTCCCTCTTCCACATTGTGCTGCAGTTCTAAAGCTGCTTTGCTGCCGTTTCTGTGGAGAGTCCCGTGCCTTGCACGCCTAGCGTGCTTGTCTGCCAGGCCACTTTCAGGATTTGGCGTAAAGGGCTGTAGTTCGTTTACGAATCCTGGCGCCCAGTACTTTGGCTACCGTGTATTCTGCCACGGGCATCTGCAGGTTCTCCATACTCTGTGTCACCGCAGCTTCCCTTTTCATGTGTTTGTTTTGGCTCTCGCTGCTCTTGATGAATGCGTTTAAACATCAGCTTTAATGCTGTGCCCCTCTGCTTGGTTTTCCTGCTGTTTTTGTGTTCCCACCAGTCTCGAGCATGGTTCTTTACTTCTCCCTCTCCCTCAGTTTCCTATGAGGTACAAACCTACCCAGCACTGTTCATTTGTTTTTCTTCAACACTCCTACTTCTGTGCTGTGACCTTTACAAACACTGACTTCCCATTGGTTAAACGACATTCATAGCACTCTTTTTTTTCTTCAGTGAGGCCCAAAGTGGCTTATAAAATTTTGTATAACAACCACCCTGTGAGGTAGGTTAGGCTGAGCAAGGTCCAAGGTCACTGACCAAGCTTCCATGGCAGAATGGTGATTCAAACCTGGTTGTCCCAGATTCTAGTCTGACATTCTAACCACCTATACACTATACAACCACCTGATTTTTAAAATTAAATTATTCCTTCCTTTCTGATACAATTTGGGCACAGTAGGTTTGAATAGAAAAATAAAGCTGGAGTTCAATTTGTTATAATTCAGGGTTTAACAAATCCATGATGCCAGTTCACCATGGTACCTAGAAATTTCATTCTGGCACCCAATATTTTCAGCAATGATTTCATTGTAGTGTCTCTCAGTGAACCACAAAGTTTTTCTTTTTATCATTTCTCATCAGAATGCCTTGTTGTATGACATTAGAATGCATATCCATGAAGTTCTTATCAATGCTTGTTTAAATGTTAACTGTACATCATTCAGTGATAGTAGATGAATTCATTTCTTAATCAGTTGCTTTCCATACTTCTAACATTCAATTCAGTTTATGCTTGGTGATGATATTGTGGAAATTTCAGTAACTATCAACCAGTCTAGAAGAATTTTTACATTGGCATGTGGTGTAATGCCCTTTTGACGGTGGAAATGGCAGGACAGCACTTTAAAATATCAGTTATTAATCACTTATGTAAATATGATTCAAATCAGGTAGAGTCATTATTTCATGTAACATTATATTGCTCTCTGTACAATAAACAGAGAGAAAGATATCATTCCTTGGATAAGGAATGTAGATAAGAATCTGCGATCCAAAGGATAAATTTTCTTTTACATGGCTCATCACAAACGTTAACCATCAACATAGCAAAGTTTCTTTCAGCTGCCTTTTTTGTAAGGGAGAAAAACTTCTCTTAAAGACAGCGGATGGCCTTTTTGGCTAACAAGCATTAGGAACAGGAGACTGCTGGGTAAGGTCATCTGAAGATTTGGGCAGGGTTGTCATCAATATGCAGATGACACTCAGCTCTGCCTCATGCTTCTGGCCACTCCCCGGGAGGGTTGGTACCTGGATGCAGTTTTGGAGTGGATGCAGGCTAATAAACTGAAATTTAATCTTGACAAGATGGAAGTACTTCTGGTGAGGAGAAGATCTGACCTGGAACATAAGATGTCACCTGTTCTGGATGGGGTTGTCACTCCTCTTGAAGGAAGAGCTCTGTAGTTTGGGAGTGCTCTTGGACCCAGGCCTACTGCTAGGTAGCCAGGTGGCAGCTGTGGCAATTCTGGTGCATGCCCTGGTTACATTTAGATTAGATTCCTGCAATGCACTCTACATGGGGTTGACCTTGAAAAGTCTTTGGAAACTTCAGTTGGTGCAGAACACTGCAGTCAGGATGTTGACTGGAGTGGGGCATATGGATCATCAGCCTTGGCTCATCTAGTTTGGTGTAGTGGTTAAGTGCGAGGACTATAATCTGGGAAAACCGGGTTTGATTCCCCACTCCTTCACTTGTACCTGGCTGGATGACCTTGGGCAAGCCATAGTTCCGATAAGAGCTGTTCTTGAAAAAGAGCAGTTTCTGTCAAGAGCCATTTCAGCCCCACCTACCTCACAGGGTGTGTGTTGTGGGGAGGGGGAGGGAAAGGAGTTTGTAAGCCGTTCCTTTGAGTAGTGAAGGGCGGGGTATAAATCCAATCTCTTCTCTTCTTCTACCCTGGCTTACTGTCTGTTTCCAGACACATTTCAAGGTACTACTACTGATCTTTAAAATCCTACATTGCTTGGGACCAGCATACCTGAAGGACTGTCTACCCAGCCAGTGCTATAGGGTATAAATCCAATCTCTTCTCTTCTTCTACCCTGGCTTACTGTCTGTTTCCAGACACATTTCAAGGTACTACTACTGATCTTTAAAATCCTACATTGGGCCACACCCAAGAGCAGAAACTCATTAGCCTATTAGGCCACACCCCTGACAGCACCGCTCCTTAGCATATTAGGCCACACCCCCATGTTACCACACCCACCTTTTGCTTCTTATTCTGTTTATCTTGTTTGTTGTCAAAACCCTGGGCTTTTTTTGTAGCAGGAGCGTCTTTGCATGTTAGGCCACACACCCCTAATGTAGCCAATCCTAATGAGTTTCTGCTGTTAGGTGTGGCCTATTATGCTAATGAATTCGTATGGTTATCACCCAGGGTTCCATAGGGAGGTGATATCTTTGTAAAATAGGAGTAATCCAGCAGGATCTGGGGTCAATCCATTGGTGGCAAAATAACATAAGATGATCTAAGGTCTCTATTGCACCTGATCCACAATTACACAATCTATTTGAGTACTGTATTTTAGCAAAACGGCCACTTAGCTCTACAGTTGGAAAAACATTCAACCTTGCAAGCGTGAAGACATATCTAGATCTGGGGGATGTAAGGAAGCTCATATATGAGGGAGTTTTCTTAGGTGGAACAATCCCTAAGGCAGAGTTGGAGCATACTCGCCTAGCACGAATTGAAGTGCTGAGTCGGTCAATGTTTGTCACCCTCAATCTCATCAAATTTAGCGCTTCTTGATAATTTAAATTATTAAGCCCCGTAGGGGCGAGACCAATCCACTCCAGCTTGTTATCTATATGTTTTGCCCACGTACATTTATAATTATCCCCTTTTAAAAGATAAAGAAGACCTCCTTGAGCATTAGGTGTCATATAAAGAACTTTCAGTCTCAATTTAAAGGCTGCCTTCCAGGCTCTTGACTCAAAGGAGCATTGTGCGAATTCTTCTCTAAGTGCCGTCCCTGCGACACATTTAGGGACTCCTGCAATTTTACGCAGGAACTGGAGAAGGATCTGATCTGATAATTCCGAAATTTCTTTAATCCAGATCGCAGCCCCATATAAAAATTGTGAAGTAACTTTCGCATTAAAAGCTGCAATGGCCATTGGGACATACTGGCCGCCTCTTGAATAATAGAATTTAAGGAGGGCATTAGAATTTAATTTAGCGATTTCAGTTGCTGCTCTTATATGATGTTTCCAGCGGCAACTGGAGCTGAACACTATCCCCAGATATTTGAAATGAGACACTTGTTCTATCTCCCCACCCTTAACCTTCCATGATCTTTGTTTTAAACAAGGTTTGTTAGAAAAAACCATTATTTTTGATTTCTCATAATTGATCATCAGCCCCTCTTGGATACAGTAATCAGTAAAAGCATTCACTAGCTTACGCAAGCCAACTTCTGATCTGGATAGCAGCACTGCATCATCTGCATAAAGTAGTATAGGTACTTCATGTCCCGCTAGTATGGGTGTGTGACAGACTGTTTTTTTAATATATGGGACTATATCGTTTATATAAGGATTAAAAAGCATGGGGGCTAATAAGCATCCTTGCTTAACGCCTTTAGAGAGATGAATGGTATTTGTAAGTTGTCCATCTACTCCGCAACGAATTTATGCAGTAAGATTCTCGTATAGTTTGTAAATCAGCCAAAGAAGTCTCTTGTCTAAAGACGTTTTGGACAATTTGGCCCAGAGACAGCATCTGGGGACTGAATCAAATGCTGCCCTGAGATCCATAAATGCTGCATAAAGGGAACCCTTTGAATAAGAAGAGTATTTATTGGCAAGATGATACAGTACTACGCAATGGTCTAAGGCTGAGACTCCATTTCTAAATCCCGCTTACTCAGGGTAAATTATGGATTCTGTTTCTATCCAGTCCAGCAGTTTATGATTTAAAAAAGCTACATACACTTTGCCTATTACTGAAAGCAGGCTTATAGGCCTATAATTAGTAGGAACTGTTTTTGAGCCTTTCTTACCTATTAGAACTATCACTGCATGCTTCCATGATTGGGGAATAATGCCAGATTCATTAATTTGAGTAAAGAGTGGGGCTAGAAATCTACTCCACCAGGTGTGGTTTACCTTTAGGAGATCTGCTAGAATTAAATCTGGGCCTGCTATCATATTCCAAGGCCCCACTTTGAGTGCCCTCCCTTCTGAGATTAGGCTGGTGGCAATCTGGAAAAGGGCTTTCTTGGTTCTGATTTCTTTACCTATGTTTTTAATCTGTTAGCTGCCTCAGTGGCCTGGGTCAGGGCAGAAAGGCAGGGTATACATTTTTGAAAT